TGTCAGTCTGTCAGTCAGTCCAGGAGTGTGTTTTGTTTTTGTTTTTGTTTTTGTTTTTGGTACGCGGGCCTCTCACTGTTGCGGCCTCTCCAGTTGCGGAGCACAGGCTCCGGACGCGCAGGCTCAGCGCCCATGGCTCATGGGCCCAGCCGCTCCGCGGCATGTGGGATCTTCCCAGACCGGGGCACGAACCTGTGTCCCCTGCATCGGCAGGCAGACTCTCAACCACTGCGCCACCAGGGAAGCCCCCCACTTAATTTTTGAAATCGCTTCCATCATCATCCCATTTGAGTTTGGAGAAACAGGAAGCACTTAGGAAAGAGATTCGTATCTCTTCCTAATCACCTTGCATCTCTCTAATCATCTGGCAAGATAAAATTACAATGGCCCTATCTCCTCAGCCCAGACATTAGGAGTGGCATTTAGCTCAGGCATTCATCCAGACAGAAGAGAAATAGGATAAATTCCTCAATTCCCCAATTTTCATCTACCACCTTTATTCCATAGGTTAGCAGGAAATAACCAGGTGAAGAAGAAAGGAAAGGGGCTTGATCCCACCTAGGTTCTCTTTATTCTAGAGCACTCCTCCCCATGCAAATTTATAAAGCCAAGGTTAGAACATAAACTCCTTCAGGGTGAGGATTTGGTCTTATTTGTTGCTGTTCTTCCAAGGTCTGTGTTCTAAAAATGTGCTGGGATTTGTTTTGAGCAGGTGTAGTAGGACACACAGACACAAAAATGACTGCCACGAAGGAAGAAGTTATTTTCTTGTATTCACAGTGCCCTAGGAGCAAGAGGCACAGCGCGCCATACAGGGCCACACAGGGCCACACAGGGAAGCACCACAGCAAGATGAGCAGGCAGAGAAGGGAACTGCGGTCAGTTTTTGTTGTGGTTTTCAAGGGAAAGAATGGGCGAAGCAAGACAAGCAGGTGGAACAAACTTACCGTTGGATAGTTTGAATAATGTCGGCGGGCTCTGCTTGTAGGGGTGTCCTCAGTTGGCTGGCACCTGGCCCTGTAGTGATGGGGCAGGGGATGGTGTCCCTAGTCTGGTAAAGTCTGGAAGAGAGTTACTTCCTGCCTCTTCTCACACTGGGGCTCCTCAGGCTGTGCCAAATACAGATGAAATCTTTCCTTGCTGCCCTCTTAGGGCGGCTGGACTCTGGGACCTTCAGGTGAGGGAAGTGGTAGAGGCGGGTTCCACCGCCAGAGCGGGGGGCCAATCTCCTCAGCAGTTCCCTCGGAGGAGAAACACCTCAGCAAAGCAGACATTTGGTTTTTGCCCTGAAGACAACACAGGAGGAAAGAATATTCCTCCCATTAACATGGATTTGTGTTCTTTTCAAAACTGTAACCCTTGTTTTCTTTCCCTAAGGAGCCTTTGAGCACTGCCTGGGCTTGGATTACAGCATGAGTCCCAGCGTGAGCTGTGAGTCACTTTATCTTAGTCATCTGAGAGCGCTTTCTGATCCCCAAATCTCTGGTCTAGTAGAAGAGAAAAGAGGAAGATGTGTGAGCTCACTTCTCCTGCTTGTGATTTTTTTCTTGCTTCATATATTCCTCCTTTCATAGTATGTCCTAAGAAGGCACAGACAAGGCTGGGGAAACAGTAGTATTAGGCAAGAGTATTTTTCCACTTGTCTCTGTCACGGTCCTGCAGGAAACAGCTGGTTTGCACAAAGTCTTTCATTCAAGAGCGTTTAATAAGGGGACTATTTACAGGGGTGCAAACAGACTCTTCTGTCTGTTTGGGTTACGAACCCCACAAGGAATGGTGAGGACCAAGGACAAGTACGAGCCGGCAGCCGATACCACGCGCAGGCCTGTAGAAGGGAGTGCGCATGGTGTTACTGGTCCCAGGGGGAGCTGTAGCTGGGGAAGAGGGGACACTAAAAAGTCCCCATGTGTTCCTCCAAAAGAGGAACACAACCACTGTAAAATCCATGGTCTGGCAGGGCTTCCCTGGTGGCGCAGTGGTTGAGAGTCCGCCTGCTGATGCAGGGGACACGGGTTCGTGCTCCGGTCCGGGAAAATCCCACATGCCGCGGAGGGGCCGGGCCCGTGAGCCACGGCCGCTGAGCCTGCACGTCTGGAACCTGTGCTCCGCAACGGGAGAGGCCACAACAGTGAGAGGCCCGCGTACCGCAAAAAAACAAAACAAAACAAAAACCATGGTCTGGCAAGGGGGCATGGTGGGATAAATAGATCGATGACTCCTCTTTCTTCCTGCTCTCTGACCTTCCAGCACCACCCATTGACCAAAGTCAATTGGAAGCCAGAGGACTAGAGTCTGTCAGGGCACAGGGCAAGACCAAGAAGGGTGGAGAGTGGAGGGGCAAACAGAGTAACCAACACACAGTCAACATTTGAATATTTAAAAAATGGTCCACTTACTCCAGACAGCAAACACTAAGTACAACTTATTAGACTTTACATTAGAATACTGGACTTCTGTACTGCCAAAGAAATGCAACACTGCCTCGTGGAAGATCAGCAGATAAATGGCAAACAGGGCCGCTGGTTCCTGATCTCTTGATGAGTGGGGTTTAGATTTTCTCTCCCTGGCCCTTCACAACTCTCCTCACTCTGCATTTTGTGTCTGTCAGGGACAATAAAAATCTGTGCCAATATATACATGTTTCTAGAATCATAGGTTTTTCGGAAGGCTATCTTGTTCAATGCCCTACCCCATCCCCACACATCAGGCAGCCCTTTGATAGCATTGATGTAAAAAGTACTTGAGTAAAGTAACTTTGTAAACTTTACAAAGTACTTCACAAAGTATCTGAGTAAGTACTTTGGTGGCAAATTATTTACCACCCCCTGAGGGAAACTTATATAACAAATCTGTTTTTAAAAGTTGTTAATACCAAGCCACAACAAACTTTATTAAAAAGTTTCCTCTTTCAAGTGACAAGTTTTATCAAAGTTAGGTCCTTAAAGGACAACTTAAAAGTTGAAATTTTTCTCAGTTTAGCTGGTAACTTCAGGATGATTCAACATCATCCATACTATTTGGCCATGTTTTCATTCTCCTGAGATGTTTTGTTAAATGGAGTCTGGAATCCCACAGATTCTTCTTTGCTGCTGCTGCAGAGTAAAATCAGCTCGAGAGTGGAGTGAAGGTGTTGGGCTAAGGGGGTGAAGAAGTTACCTGGGGACAAGAACTAGATACTTTTAGGGAGAAGAATAGGGACACAATGATATTGTTGTTAAAGAATTACTAGTTAAAGGTCGAAGAGGAAGAGAAACAGCATAAAATTAAACAGGGAATCTTTGTAGCACTCAGGAACCCAAAAGGTCTGAAAAAATAAAACTGGAAGATTCAGTGATAGTGTCTGTTTATTCCTATGGATCTATTCTCACCCTTCTCCACTCTGCTGTGTTCTGGAGGCTGACCTATATGGGCTACATCATCTTCCCTCTGGGTTTCAGATTAGCTTCAGCCATTTGGGACCAGGCAGGAGATTGGAGGGGAAGAGAGTAAGGCTGGAATATTTATGCTGCCTCCCATTCTTCCTCCCTGTGGGGGTCCCTGCCGGCTGACTGCATCCCTCAACTCAAGGCCATAGCCTCAGTCAGCCTGCCCTTTTTACACTGTTCTCTCTCTCTCTCTCTCTCTCTGTCTGTCTCTCTTTCTCTCTCTGGATTTCAGTAACCCTCTCCCATTCAGGCCTGGGCACTGCAAAACCCTTGTGGTTTCCCACACCCTGCCCACAACTTTGTAAGTAGCCCTGTTCGTTATAAAATTGCCCAACTGGAATGAGCCATCTGTTTCCTGCCAGCACCCTGACTGACACACTCAGTCCCATTCTTCTCCCAATATTTACTGAGTAGCTACTATATTTCAAGGAAGAATAAAATGATAAATTAGACAGTTACTAATCTCAAGGAGGCTGTCTGGGGAGTGGAGACAGCCACAGGAACAGATGGTTATATCACATCTTGATAAGTGATGCAGAGAGGCACTGGATGGGGAGGTGGGTAGAAGTGTAAAATAGGGGCATAGGCAGACTCAGGGAAGGTTTCTTGGTGGAGATGGGGTTGGACAGTTTTAGAGGCAGGGACATGGGTAGGGAGTGGTGAGGAGTTGGGAGAGAAGCCATGGACCTCAGGGCCAGACCGTAGAAAGCCTTATACTGTGGGTAGGGGTCCTTCTTTTCCACTTGTTTACTCTTTCTTTTTCTCCCTTTCTTTTTACCAACAAGGGAAAAATAGTGACATCAGTGAAGTCTGCAGCCCCTTACTCTTAGACCTCAATCTTGCCCCACTACCAGTGCTTGACACTCCTACTTCCTTGCCTAAAACCTGTCTTTTCCATTGAAAATCACTCCCATACATCTCCTGCATATTCTAAGGCCTTTCAAAATGGCAGGATGATAATTTGGTAAACTAGTCCTTGGAGGTGAGCTACAGGAGAGAGCTAGAAGTGAACGTTCCCAAGTGCATTCTAGGAGCCCTAACAGCCAGAGCCCCATTTTCTTTAACAGCAGTTGATAACACTGACACTTTTCTTGTCCAATGGAGAAGGGTAAACTTAATGTTGGAAAGAAGGCAGGGAGTGAGTGAGCTTCACTCCACCAAGGTGGGGCTTTAGTTCAAATAGGTTTGAGCAGGTGGCACTTTTAAGATCCATTTTTATCACATACGGACAAGTCCAGGGTCCAGGAGGTATCTGCCTTCTCTCTCTTAAGTGCACACTGCCAGTAGTTTCCTTGCTAGGTAAGGCCAGGTCCACACAGTCCCACAGTTGCCTCCTTGGCATCAAAGACAGCCAGTCCTCTAGAACTGCGGCTCATGAGGCTTCGTTAGTCAAAATCACACACGCAAAGCCACCCAACGGACCCCTCTCTTCTGTTAACCGAGAGTGCGCACCACTGCCTCCCCTCGTATAAGGAAAGAGACACGGGAAGAGCTAAAAGAAAGTGGTGGGTATGGAACCCTCAGCACTCTCGCTCTCAACAAGTAACCAGATCGGTTATTCGAGCTCTCCGCAAGCACGGACGCCAGGCCAGGGGCGGCCACCCCGCAGCGAGAGCTCTGGGCGGCCACTAGAGCCCGAGGGTGGGGCTAGTCTCTGAGCACCGGCCAGCTGCCCGCCCCCTGGAGGCCCCGCCTCCCAGACAGGCATGCGAGAAAGCCCCTCCCCCGGGCGCTCCTAGAAGTCGACGAAGCGTCCCGCTGCTGTGCCAGTACCTAAAGGCCTCCGCCGCCGCTTCGCGGAGTTCCTGTGGCTACCACCGCGCGGAGTATGGGGCGCTGATGGCCATGGAGGGCTACAGGGGCTTCCTGGGGCTGCTGGTGTCGGCGCTGCTCGTCGGCTTCCTGTCTGTGATCTTCACCCTCATTTGGGTCCTCCACTACCGGGAGGGGCTCGGCTGGGACGGGACCGCGCTCGAGTTTAACTGGCACCCTGTACTCGTGGTCACCGGCTTCGTCTTCATCCAGGGCATCGGTACTGGCACCTCCTGGGAGGAGGCGGGGAGGCAGGGGCCGGGAGTTCCCGACCGAGTTCCAACCGAGTGGGGTTGGGCGAGGGAGAGGGTGAGGGAGCAGCGCGCGGCGGCCCGGGAGCGGAGTCGGCGGGGCGCGGCGCTGGAGGGAGGTGGGCGGGCTCCGAGGCCCGGGGGCCGCGGGCCGGGCCGACTTGGGCGAGCGCTGGGGCGGAGCGCGCGGGGCCGGGGTTCGCGGTGAGACGCGTGGCGGGGTCGGCTGGGCACTGACGCGGCGCGGAGGGCTGGCCGGGCGCGCTAGCCCGGCTTGGTTAGTAACTCTTTGCTCCGAGTGGTTGCGACGCGATACCAGACGACACTAAACGCGGGAGCGTGGTGCGGCCCGGCAGCCCACGAGCCCCCGAAAATCGCCCCCTGTGGACCGAGCCTGCGCCATCACAGGCGCGGAGATCTCTTTAGGAGACGCCTTTCGTTGAACTTGCTTCAAGGCTGCGGGTTAGGAGAGGAAGGCAACGGGGGCGGGGGGGTGGCAGTGGGAATGGAGGGGCGAGAATTTGCTGCTTCTTGTCTCATCCTCAGCCCTGAGCGAAGGGGCCCGTCAGCGGGTAGCCGGGGTGAGTGAAGGAAGCATCAGCTCTGGTTTCACTCCTAGAGCGTTAAACGCAGTCGAGCCGAGAAGCTGCCAGACTCTGAAGGGTGTTTCGCTGCCCTGCCTGGTTATTGGACAGTCTGGAGCCCGACTTGTTTTTGTGGCTGCTGCCCAGAGAAAGTTCCCCTGCGGGGCTTCCTGTTGGGCGCTAGCCCGGAATGCGGGACCAGAGATGCCCGAGGGGGCCTCGCGGCTGCTGGGCTGGGAGAGATGCTTCTGCTTGGAACATCTTTGGGGTTTGCTGCCTCGGCCTGCAGCCTCTGGGATGAGGCTGGCACGGAGAGAGCGCTCAGCGGATGGCAGTTTTTGTTCTTGTTTTTGAGATATAATTGATATATTAGTTTCCATCACCTCACGTAGTTACAATTTTTTCCCCCCTTGGGATGAGAACTTTTAAGATCTAGTCTCTTTAGCAATGTTCAAATCTACAGTATAGTATTATTAACTGCCGCCATCATTCTGTGCATTACATCCCCAGAACTTGTAACTGGAAGGTTGTACCTTTTGACCACCTTCACCCATTTCCCCCCTTACCTCCTCTCTCCGTCAGTGTCCGGTTTTGTTGTCTTTGTCTAGTGCTGCTCACAATGTCCTGACAGCTTCCTTTCCTTCAGCTGCTGTTGAGCTGGAGGAACCTCTAGCGAGTGGTGCAAGCGCCATTTGTTTGTAACCACTTTCCAAAAAGTGAAGTCAAGGCCTTGGCAGAGAAAGTATTTAGAACAAGGCAGAAAGTAGCGGACTGGAGTTATGTCGTAGAAAGTAATGGAGAGGAGTGGAAAGGACTTGGGAAGGAGGTGCCCACCAGCCGAAACCTCTAGCCTTGCCTCTGAGCAAGCTGCCTTTTCTCCACCAGTATTTAACTTTCCACAAACAAAGAAGAGAACAAAAAAGCGCCCACCTCCTTTCTAAAGAAAAGATTTTTGTTTCCATTTAAAACGTGGGCAGCAGCCTTGGCCAGTGTGGCTGGCGTGGCTGGCATCCTCCCACTCTGGGAGGTACTGGAAGCTGTTGCCAAGGCCCAGCTGTGGTACTGAGGCTTCCCTGGTGTGAGATGGCACCCGGGTGTGAGTACCACTGGCTGGCTAAGTTATTCGTTGCGTATTTTGCCACTAAACTAAAATGAGAAAAACACACTCAAGTTCCAAAGTCGCTGTTGGCAGAAGCACTCTTTCCTTTGTGGTGGAGCCCTTAAGTTTGGCCGGAGCTGTCAACACCTTTTGTTTGCTCACAGCAGTAGGAACAGTCTCTTCATCTCTTCAAACCAACTCCTCAGAGCAGCTTCTAATACTAAGAAACTTTCCGGAGGGGCTAGAATATCTCCTTACCATGTAGGGTAAGGGAAACACAGGTGATAATATTTGTTTCTTGACTTCTAAAGAGGAGACGCTCTAACGTTTACTTAGTGCACTAAGTGCACTATTTCACAGATGTATAAGGGTAAACTGGGCTTCCCTGGTGGCACAGTGGTTGAGAGTCCGCCTGCCGATGCAGGGGACACGGGTTCGTGCCCTGGTCTGGGAAGATCCCACATGCCGCAGAGCGGCTGGGCCCGTGAGCCATGGCCGCTGGGCCTGCGCGTCGGGAGCCTGTGCTCCGCAACGGGAGAGGCCACAGCAGTGAGAGGCCCGCGTACCGCAACAAAAAAAAAAGTAAACTGAGGCACAGAGCAGGTGCTACTTCTGTGTAGCACTACTACACAGAAGTAGTGTGTTTTCAGGGGCTTTATTTTCAAGGTTCATTTCTCTGCTTTTATGGCAATACGCTTATTTTCTGTAAGATATTGTTTGAGAAGCAAAAAGCTTCATGTAAAATACACTTTGAAACTTTTCCTTCATGTTAGAGTCCATTACAGTTTTCCTAAAATAATTTATAATTTTTCTAAACCTTGGACTTTTCTTAATCTGTTTATATTCACTTTGGAGCAAAAATATGTACATGGATATTTTGGAAATTTTCATCTGCTGCTTTTATTTAAGCTTAACTCCTGTATTTGTATTAGTTTTGGAATGTTTGTCCTGTCAACATTACCCATCCTGTTTACTATTTGGATTCCAGATATGAAAAGCACTTTAATTAGATGACACACTTATTTTTAAAATTTATTTTATTGAAGTATAGTTGATTTACAACGTTGTGTTAATTTCTGCTGTACAGCAAAGTGATTCAGGAATACATGTGTACATTCTTCTTCATATTCTTTTCCATTATGGTTTATCACAGGATATCGAATATAGTTCACAGTAGGACCTTGTTGTTTATCCATTCTATATGTAATAGTTTGCGTCTGCTAACCCCAAACTCCCAATCCGTCCCTCCCCCACCTCCCCTCCCCCTTGGCAACCACAAGTCTGTTCTCTATGTAGGTGACACATTTAATTGACATGCACGTAAGCTTTCTCATACATATAGGCACATGCATAGCACTCATGAGTTCTTGCAAGTCTTGGCCCACCTGCATGTCCTCACATCCAGCAGTAGGAAGCCTCCAGTAGAAGGACTAGGAGTAAATAGTTGACTTCATAGGCCGGGGGAAACACACATGTTACAGACTAGCCATGTTATAAAAGCTTTTTTACTGTGTATAATTGCTTCAGGGAGCAAATTTTTAGGCTATGTTATTTCAGATCTCTAATAGTGAACGTGATGTAATTGAGCTCTGTGATACACAAATGCTCAGCGATGAGGAGGGAAGGCCAAAGTACAGTTTTTACTCTAAGCATAAAATGCTTTACAAATGCAAACAGTAAATGATATTTAAAACTATGTGAGAATAAATATGTGTCCTTTGAAACACCTTTAAGAAGTAAGCTCTGAAGAAAGCAAGGGTAACATAGAAGTTACAAAATAAATATCTATGTGTCTTTTGGAAAATATATGTGTTCTAAAATAAAGTGTAAGAGACTACAGGATAGTTAAAACTGAAATAAAATTTTAAACTGGTAGGAAATCCAGCAAACATGAATGAGGAAGTTTCAAAGAGAACTTTTAGAAGACCTTTGTGCTTCTCTGAAAGGACTGTTTCCCATGAAATAAGTATACTGCCAGGAAATCAGAGAAACAAAACTTGAAAAGGCCACAGAAAAGACTGAAACAAATAAATGCTCTCAAAGTGGCTGTTGATCTTTTAAAAGGTTCAGCAAGGTGGAATGTGTTCTTTAGTAAAAGGTAGAAAATTCAAGTATATAAATTTAGTGAAAAGAAGCCTCAGCAATTATATACGCCTTACTTTTCCACGTGTAGAACTCTTTTGACTGTATAAACTGAAGGAAGAGAAATTCAATAGTATAATGATCTCAGGTTGGTTTTGTGAGAGAATATAACTTCATTGAAGTCACATTTAAAAGAATAACAAAAAGAAATTAAGGGTAGTTCTTAAAAGGCAAATGGGATATCCTATTAATGTATCTAAAAGTGACCAAATTCGAAGACCACTTAAATATATTTGGAAAGGCTCTTGGGGTAAAACCTGGCAAAGAATAGAATGGAGAAAGTGCTCCAAATACCTACTCCAAAACCAGCCTTTGGGACACCATAGATAATTAAACCTGTCATTCATAAAGAAACGGAGGTTTTTAAAAGCATAAAGACACAATTCAAGACAACAATTCAAGACAACCCCAAGCACATTTCAAGACACAATTCAAGACAACCACAAGCACATTTTTTTGTTATAAATAAATACATGCAGATCTCTTTGTAATACATCTAATAAAAATGTTTTAGACATGATTATTTTGTTCACTATTGCATCCCCAGCATCTAGAATAACACCTGGAACTGGCACAAAGTAGGCCAGTAAATAGTTGTTGAATGAATGAGTGATTATTTCAGTACCATCGCCAATTGTTAGTAACAAAATGCAATTTTACAGCCACTCATTTGTGGTGATAATAGTAGCATCCAAAGAAAAAGTGCCCTCCCTTCCCCTCAGTGATTCTGCTGTTTACAGCCCGTTTGGAAGCACTGCTTTAGTCAGCCTCAGGGGAGAATGGGCATCATGTTATATTGGAAGCGCATCTCTACTCTAAAGGCCTCAAGCTCATTAGAATGTTACTGCCTCATTAGAATTGCCTACCACCTGTGCCTTCTCACTCCATCAATTCTCCCCTTTTCCTTGTGCATCAAGTTTCTCCTCCATTGGATTATTTTCAATGTGTTACAATTTCTGTCATCTTTTTAAAAAGATTAATTAATTAATTTATTTTTGGCTGCGTTGGGTCTTCGTTGCTGCGCACGGGCTTTCTCTAGTTGTGGTGAGCAGGGGCCACTCCTCGTTGCGGTGCATGGGATTTTCATTGCGGTGGCTTCTCTTCTTGCAGAGCACGGGCTCTAGGTGTGTGGGCTTCAGTAGTT